AAAAAAAAAAAAAAAAAGGGCTAAAAAACAGGGGCGTAATATTGCGCCGCGCCGCCAATATTATCATACAGGGATTGTTTTAAGGTGCGCACCGTGTCAGAATTTCCATTTTCTCCCCTTTTCATTTGCGTATGTACTACATATCTATCTACGGTGCCGTCGCTTGCGAAGCCCTAGCTCTCCCTCTTGTATATATCGAGTATAAACACCTACCTATTTTGTTAATTCTATGAATTTATTGGTGGTTGATGTGATAAATTAATCGAATTTAAGGAGGTAAGATTTTTTTCCCGATCTGATTTCGTTTCTCGTTCAGCAAATTGAGGTGCTTCTGGAAATTTGTTGTGTGAATTTTGAAACTTGAATTATAGCCAAAATAATCCATGCATGAATTTATGTGCTTGATATTTAATTTAATCGATATTTTCCTGTTCTTGATTCTGAAAGGAATCTAGCCGCGTTTTTCGGTTCTTATCCGAATTTTAGAAAGAAAGAAAAAATCTTCTCAACTTGTTGCTAAATCAATTGATTTCAGAGTTCTGTTGAATGATTTTATTCTTTTTTCGTGTGAATTTGTTTTTCAATGTAAGTTTTGGTTTTGATGCAGAAAGTTTTTAAGAAGGAAACGAAATGAGAAAATAATTATGGTTCTTTGATATACTGACTCTCTCCTTAATTTATCAAATTTTGCTTAAGTCCTGATCCTGGTTCCTGATTGGTTCAGATCAAAAAGTTCATCTGACGTGCAACCATTTGATTTTCACATCTGGAATTTATGTTCAGTCTGGATGTTACTGAGCTTTGACTGTGTAAGCATTTTGTTTCATACATTGCAGTTGAGTAGTTGCTTTATTTTTCTTTGGAAAATGATATTTTATTAGTTCAAATAAGCTTTAATGCGAAAATAATAACCATTTGTTTATATTTTTCTTTTGTTTTAGCTTCAAGATTTTGATATGTTTTTATGCTCCTAATTTTGAATAATTGCAGGCATACTAATATAAATAGTAAGTTACTCCCTAGATTTTTCTAGTGTTGTGACTGTTCTGCATCAGAAAATTTGTTATATATGAGTGTTAAATCATACACCTTTAACTTATGTTATATACAATGTGTTTACTTGTCATATGCAATGAAAAGTATTTGTCTTGTCACATATGTAATGGGTACGTGTCTTTGCTGTTTATGATAATAAAATATCGTATCTTTTCTTTCCCATATATAATTCAGGTGAAACTCTTTGTTTATTAGTGCTTTAATCCCTGCCGCCTGAAAATTGAAGAGGAAGAAGGAAACTGTTTGCCCTGGCCATCACTGCTTGTCACAATGGCCCAGGAATTCTTAACTCTTTGGATTTTGTTTGAAATGTTTGCCTCGATCACAATGAAATGCTAATTTCATTTTATACTTCAGTTTCTGTATATTCTTTGTATATGCAAAACAATCCACAAATTATGGAATCCGCAATGAAGTTCCCTAGGCTCATGTATCCAGACTGGAAAATGCTATTGGTTTGTGAGGTTTTCAAAGACGTGTTTGACTAATTCAGGTTATATGACTTGACTTTAACATTGATCATTGCGAAAGAATATTTGGGAAATAATAACAATCTTTCTTAAAGAATTGAAGCAACTACTTTGAATGCTGCATCATGTCTTTCCAATTGTACAGCTGAATGAATATTCAATTTTCAAAAAATTTATACTTGAGAACAAGATTTTTTGTTTATTATTAGTACCATAATGTAGAAGTCTTGCTATTTATTGCCAGAATGACATACAAGTTTAAATTAGTTTTGGAATGATAGATTTAATGTGTTTCAGCTTCTTCTATTTTAGCTGTTTTGTGGATTTGCCATCACTAACAATTGACAAGAAGCTCTGCATTTTGCATATTAATGAATGTGTTCATGGAATAAAGAACTAAGATACCTTTTCCTTATTTAGAATCTTGCATCCATTTCTCTGCATAATGCTTTACTTTGATTATTCAGTAACCTTATTTGGTTAATAATGTAATTCTTTGTGAAACAGGATGACCAGCTACTAGACTGTGCTGAAGTACTTGAATTGTTTGTAATAATCCATCACTGTTGCTAACTGGGGCAACTTCATATCAGCAAATGGATCGTTGTGATACTTCCGGATTTGTGAGCGGGGGTGGGGTGTACTCTTTCAGAGGCATCTAACCTGTTTTTTTGTTGCTAATTGATTTAAACCCGGAAGTCAGGAAGACTGTTCTTTTGCATCTGAAATTTGGTTCAAATAAGTGTATTGCATCAGTAGCTATTTGGTCATGAATGCCAGATTCCACAATCTTGGTTTTGCTGCTAACCCGGTATCAAATGCATTCAAGAATCTGGACAGTTCCAGCCAAATTGGAGGACTCAGGGGTGTTTATTGTGAAGATACAACGTTACAACTTAATCCACCTGCTTTTCAGATCCCTTCCTCATCTGCTCCAAAGGGAATCAAGCGGAAGTGGAGTTTAATAGACAGACCTGTGGATCTGCAGATCAAATCTTCACTATGTCTCCGCCTAGGCCATTCATCAAGTTCATCAGATAGTAAGGGGAGTACAGGAACTGCATGCACTTCGATGTCCTCGGCTAAAGACATTGAAGAAGAGTCCTCAATGGATCTAGAACTGGACTTCACTCTCCATCTTGGTAGTGAAAAGTCATTAAATCCAAGGAAATCAGCCAGTTTGAAATCCTTGAGTGCACAGCCTAAGGTTGATTTGGAGTTGAGCCTTTCTAGTGGGCTTGCTGAATCTGATATAACTACTTTTTGTCCAAGCTCTACTACAGAAAAGAATGCTCTCAACATGGCGTTTACTGGTGATGGAGCTTTTAACACTGATGAAGGATCCATGGGAAGTCCTTTTTATCCATTTCCGCAGGACAGGGAAAACACTAACTTCCTCAGACAGGCTCCAAGACAAATGAAGCCAGTATCACTCTCTCCAGATCTCTCCGCAAGTGTAATGACCACACCAAAAAGCTCAGTCACCTGTACTTCCGGGATAACACAGCTACAACAGCAGCGCACTAGTAGTGCAAAACAGTGTCAGTTTCAGGGATGTTCTAAGGGAGCTAGAGGTGCTTCTGGCCTTTGTATCGCTCATGGTGGCGGTCGGAGGTGCCAACGTCCTGGTTGCCATAAAGGAGCTGAGGGTCGGACTGCATTCTGCAAGGCTCATGGTGGTGGTCGACGATGTGAATATTTAGGATGTACGAAGAGTGCAGAAGGACGTACAGACTTCTGTATCGCCCATGGTGGTGGCCGCCGTTGCAGTCATGAGGGCTGCAGCCGTGCTGCAAGAGGGAAATCTGGATTGTGCATTCGGCATGGTGGTGGCAAGAGATGCCAGAGAGAGAACTGCACAAAAAGTGCTGAAGGCCTTTCTGGTCTTTGCATCTCACATGGAGGTGGTCGCCGATGTCAGTATCCGGAATGCACCAAAGGGGCCCAAGGAAGCACAATGTTCTGTAAGGCTCACGGTGGTGGCAAACGTTGCACATTTTTAGGATGCAACAAGGGTGCAGAAGGAAGCACGCCTTTCTGCAAGGGCCATGGTGGAGGGAAACGATGTTCTTTCCAAGGAGGCGGAGTTTGCCCAAAGAGTGTGCATGGGGGTACCCTTTTCTGTGTAGCACATGGAGGTGGCAAGAGGTGTGCTGTGCCAGAGTGCACGAAGAGTGCAAGGGGACGTACAGCCTATTGTGTTCGTCATGGTGGGGGAAAGAGATGCAAATACGAAGGGTGTGGAAAAAGTGCTCAGGGCAGTACTGATTTCTGCAAGGCTCATGGAGGAGGGAAGAGATGCTACTGGGGTCAGCCTGGTTCTGAATTTGGCAAGGGCAATGGACCTTGCAACTCGTTTGCACGGGGTAAGAGCGGGCTCTGCGCATCGCATGGTGCCTTGGTTCAGGACAATCGGGTTCATGGTGGTGCAACTATAGGAACTGTCATTCAGGATTCAAAAACCAACCAACCTTCTAAGATTAAACAAATTTTCACTGCCGATGACATGAGTGTTGACATCATAGAGAGCGGTGTTGTGGCTTCCCCCAGGAGTTGGAATTATTTATGCCCCCGTCAAGCTCATATGCCTGTTGGAGGCAGCTCATCAACCCGTACAGTCCCTGAAGGAAGGGTGCATGGAGGCAACCTTGTGGCGTTGTTTGCAGGTAGTTCTCATCTCAGCTTCACCAGCAGCAGAGACATTGTTGGTTCATCTGAGTCGGAGAAATCTTTCATGACACATCAGACCTGGATATAAGATCTGCTATCCAGTTTTCCGTTGTTCTTGCTAGCTTCGTACTTGGCCAAGTATTGTGTCTGTTACATTTATGTTTGTTTGGTGGTTTGAATATGAGAAACTCCTGTCTTATTTCTTGAACTTTGTTGCATGTGTGGCAATAAAGGGAAATGAACTATGGTCTAGTAACCTTTTTTATGTGGGTCATTGGTGTTTATTCATGTAAATATTTTAATTATTCCAACCTTGTTTCTTTGGTCTGTTTGTTTATGGCTCTTGTAGGGTCAAACAGATTTTCTGTCGTAAAACAATGTTTCTAGTTTTGTGCATATCCTCCTTTTGACGATTCTGTATTTTTAATTGTTTCTTTATTGTCAAGATTATTTAAAACTGATTGGATACTGACATTTTTGGTTCCCCCAATGGAGATATGGATATAATCAGTAGTAGCATTAACTTGAACTTTGTTTGGCAAAGTCTATTAAGGAAGAAAAAGAAGTCAAAATCTTATTTATTCAAGTGTCTAATTATGCATACCAAGTATGTCCCGGTGGTACACTTGTAGCCAAGTTGTTATGTGAAAAATCAGTAAATCACTTCACTGCTTTTTTAAAGAGAGGATTTACTATTGATTTGTGCACCTTCACGAACTGCTTTTCTACTGTTCATCAATAAATATCCCTCTACAGTTCATTAAATATCTGCAGATCACTTCGCTATCCACTTTCTTCCTCGTTCGCTTCTTTTCTCACTTTTGTACTAATCCTAGCAGTCGCTCTCCAAAACAATTCGAGGCTAATTTAGTGGAGAGAGAGTAATTGGGTGGTGCAACAGATGACAAGAACTGATGTGGAAGGAGGAGGCTTTTTCTCTTCTTCAGCTTCTGGTTGCAGTAAGGGCATAAAGTTTTTTTTTTTTTGGGTTGTTGAAATATATGTGCTGTTGTGTTAATTAATCGCATTAATTTCTCAGGATTCGTATTAGAAAACATCTTTCAGATTAATTTGCAACGATCAAAGTGGGTGAATCTCAGTATCATTTTCATATACTGGATCATCTTCTTCACGATGCTCAAAATAAACGAGGATGTGGCCCCTTAGATTCATGGGTGCATAGCAAGGAGAAGAATACAGCGAAGAAAGGGAAATCAGAATACTTCTGTTGGTGTCACTCAATCCCCTTCCCCAGGACCCATTGAAAACAAGTATGATGCAGTTTGGCTCAAAATCTCATTGAAAACATCCTGAGAAATTTCAATGTTGCACCTTGTTTTTACTGTTTTAATTGGGAAATAATGGCTTGATTTGTTAACTTTTCGCTTCATTTTTTTTAGAGGTTTTCTTGTTGCCCATTCTGTACAAGCAGGTTTCAAATATGAAAACCAGATTTTAAAATCTGTGTGGGGGTAAAATTTATTTTCAATCAGAATGCGCACAAGTATTTTTTGGAGATTGGGTTTAGTTGCTTTAGGTAGCCGAAAATTCATGTATGATTCTTTACATAGGAAATGAAAAGTTGGGTTTAAGAAAGGTTTTCTGATGCAGACCTTTGCTCCAATGAATTTTCTCCTATGATTTAAAGAAAATCCCTGAGTTTTGGCAGAGTTTTGATTCAGTTTTCAATTTATTTGACTGAGATGAAGAGAGTAGGTGGATATTCTGAAGGGGAAATGAAATGTTGGGATTTAAGAAGGTTAGGTGTTTCGATGGGATTGATGAGAACTACAGGAGTGTTGAGACAATGGGTGGTGGAAAAGAGGGGGTGATATTAAGAACGGAGAAGTGGGTGTTGGAGCAATGAATCAAAATGATTTCTTCATTGGGAATGAGGTTTCTCGTAGTTTTGCAGTGGATTCAAGTCGCCTTCATGTGAATGATCAGAACAAATGGGAGGACTTTGATATCAACTTTGATTTGATTTTAATGACGGGAAAGAGGAAAATAGATTGGATTTTGATACTAATGTGCCCAGTGTGCCAAACTCTGACATGAAAGGTGGTGGAATGGAAATGGTCTGTGAAGAAAATACACAATACCAACCTGCGAACATTGAGAGGAGAGTGGAAATTATTATTATTTTTGATCGGTAAATGTAAATTTGTATTGATTAAAATTTATATACAAATACTCTGGGCATGTCCATGCTTACAAGATCAAAAAATGTACAAACGATAAGATCTAAAGATGAATCAAAATATAAGGATATAATGAAAGCGTAACTTTTTATATATGTGTGTTGATCCGCCTCGTGATGCAATTGGAATGTGGCTTGAGATTTTCAAAAATCTTCCTATTCATAGCTGTCCAAAGATGATAAACGGTGTAGATCAATGCAATTCTCTTGACTTTGCTTTGCCAAGACGTCCCTCGTGCTTCTTTTCTGTTCCACTTCAATGCACTTGCAGTCCAAAAATGATAAACGGTGCAGATCAATGCAATTCTCTTGGCTTTGCTTTGCCAAGACGTCCCTCGTGCTTCTTTTCTGATCCACTTCAATGCACTTGCAATCGTTGTCATCAATCTCCTAGTGCCCAACCATGCTCTAATCTGTCCCCAAGTTGAAGAACTCAAAGAACATTGAAAGAAAACGTGCTGGGCAGTTTCGGTATGTGAACCATACAGCACACAGGTTCGGTCAATGTCCAGGTGCAACAGCCTATCCTTCGTAAGAAGTTTAGACTGGGCACTCAAACACAAAATGAATGAATGCTTTGGAGTGATGAAAGGTCTCCAAACATCCCTAGCCCATGTCTTCTTACTTCCTTTTGGCCTGAAGAAGCCATACGCCTTAGATATGCAAAGATTTCTGCCAACCGTCCACTTCAATAATCTGTCCAGTGCAGCCTAGCCCCTAGGCGGTCCCTTCATTCTTTACCAGCGTCAGCGTGCCCTGATTTCCAGCAGTTTTTTGAGCAACGCCGAGTCAACTTTTCTTGCCGAAACATCCCAAATAGCTGCCCTCGAAGATAAATTTGATTAACCCATCGGACCCAAAGAGTATCCTTCTTTTCATGGATGATCCAAAGGGATTTTGCAAGCAACTCTAAATTCCAGCAATTTACGTCCCTAAAACCAAGGCCACCCTCGCATTTCGGTAGGCAAATATTCTTCCAAGCTACCAACGGCTTTTTGTACCCCTAAAGGAAGTTTCGGCATAGTCTAATGATTCTTGAAGCAACTGTAGCTAGGATTGGGAAGATAGTGTAAATTTTGGAAGAATGAATAATGCTTGTATATAATATCTTTGCGTAATGTACAAGTATATATAGCTCCTACAATCTGCTATTAATGGATGGAATATTACAATGATGGAAAATAACAAATTACAGTATATTTGTTTCCTAATCAGATCATCTATAATATTGCTCGGGATCTTTGACTTTCTCAACACTCCCACTCAAGTTGGTGAGTAAATATTGTGAACTCCCAACTTGACCAACAAAGAATGAAATCTTTCCTTTCCGAGAGCTTTAGTGAATACATCAGCAACTTGTGATATGGACGGAATAAATTTCGTCATGACTTTTCCTTCCATAATTTTATCTCGAACAAAATGACAATCAATCTCGATGTGTCTTGTTCGCTCGTAAAATACAGGATTTGCTGCAATATGAAGAGCAGCTTGATTGTCACAACGCAAAGTAGTTGGCCATTGAACTTGGATCTGCAAGTCTCGAAATAGGTGTTGTATCCATGTAAGTTCACAACATGCTGCTGCCATGGATCTATACTCGGCTTCGGCAGAAGATAAGGATACATTTTTCTGGAGCTTGCTTTTCCATGAGATAAGAGAATTTCCAAAGAAAATACAGTAACCAGTTGTTGAACGCCGAGTAGTTGGACATCCTGCCCAATCAGAGTCACAGTACGCTTCCAATTTCAAATTATTTTGGGAAGAGAACATCATGCCTTGTCCTGGTGTGCCTTTTAGATACTTCAAGATTTGTAAGGCAACTTCATAATGAGGCTTTCGAGGTATCTGCATGAATCTGCTCAATAAATGGACAGAATATCTGGTCGCGTAATAGTGAGATATATCAATCGACCAACCAATCTTCTATACTTGGCTGGATCATCCAATGGGTCACCATCATCAGGAAGCAATTTAAGATTTTGTTCCATAGGAAAGCTTGCAGGTCGCGATCCTAGAAACCCAACATCATTCAAAATATCCGATAGATATTTTCTTTGTGAAATAAAAATACCGTGTTTCAAGCGTGCCACCTCGATCCCCAAGAAATATTTCAAATCACCAAGGTCTTTGATACGAAACTTGCTATTTAAACAACCTTTCAGTTCATTGATCGCCGTCAAATCATTCCCTGTTATGAGTATGTCGTTGAGTAGCATAGTGAAGGATTTTCCTTTTCTCTTGGTAAAAAGAGAGTAATCTGCTTTAGATTGAACATAACCAACAGATTGGATAGCTTGTGAGAATTTGAAGAACCACTGACGAGAGGCTTGTTTCAACCCATAAAGCGATTTATTGAGGCGATACACCAAATTCTCCCCCTGTCGCCGAAGACCAGGCGGTGGGAGCATATATATTTCCTCCATGAGATCACCATGGAGGAAGGCATTATGAATATCAAGTTGATAAAGTGACCACGAGTGAGCAGAAGCAAGAGCAAGTTCGGAGAAAAAGTGTCATGATAGTCAATACCTTCCAGTTGAGTGTAGCCCTTAGCAACCAAACGAGCTTTATAATGCTTGATACTCCCATCAGATTTTCGCTTGATTTTGTAAACCCATCGACATCCAATAGGTACCTTGCCAGCGGTAAAGGAGTAAGTGTCCATGTGTCAGTGGTTTGAAGAGCCTGAAGTTCCTCATCCATGGCCTGGCACCATTCATAGTGTTTTGAGGCCTCTGCATAACTGTTAGGTTCCAAAGAAAAAGCAATTGTGCAATAAATGATTGATATGCTTGAGAGAGTCCTGTATCTGACAAGTAATTGGAGAGAGGATACCTTGTATGAGGACCAGAGATCGAGGAATGCGTGGGGGACGACATAACGGTAGAACCAATATAATCGTGAAGCTTAATTGGTGGTACTCGAATGCGACTGGAACGTCTTAAAGGTGTTGGAGAAGTAACAAGTTCATCAGGTGGGATAGGTTCAGGGGGCTGTCCATGAGAAACATGACTATTTGGAATGGCTGGATTGGGGTCAATGTTCAGAATGTGTGAATCAGGTTGTTCTTGTATGGGTTGTGGCTCAATATCAAAGCTTGGGTGATTTGTGATAGGTGTTGGGCAATATGAGTGGGATTTGTGTCAGGATTAGTTTGTTCCTTGTGCTAAGGAAAAATATTTTCATGAAACGTGACATCTCGACTTGTAAAAATCTGCTTTGAATTAAGATCGTACAACTTGTATGCTTTTTGCCAAAAGGGGTACCCAATAAAAACACATTTTCTTGCTCGAACATCAAACTTATGTTGTGGGTGAAGATTAGTGGCATAGACTAAGCATCCAAAGGTATGAAGATGTGTATATGAGGGACTATGACCAAATAATTTCTCATAAGGCGTAAGGCCCGATAAGAGTGGAGTGGGTATGCGATTTATGAGATAGACAGATGTAAGAATACAGTCATCCGAAAAGTTTAATGGCATATGAGATTGAAAATGCAAAGCTCGTGCAGTTTGAAGGATATGTCTATGTTTACATTCGACTACTCCATTTTGTTGGGGGGTAGAGACACATGAACGTTGAAAAATAATGCCATGCTCATGAAAGAAAGTATGCATAGAAACAAATTCGCTCCCATTATCGTTTCTAATCATTTTAATGTTCTTGTGG